AGTTATAAATCTAAATAAAAATAAATAAAATGTAGTCCTTTTCAATTTTTCAGTTTCTATTTACTTTAACATGCTACATATTAAGTTTTATAAATTACGTTTGAATGTCCTTATTATGTACTAACATTTGAATTAAAATATATTCCTACTGAAAATCAGATTAGCTAGACAAAAATAATTCAATTTGCGTACAAAATTAACAGTACATTTATCGCAAACATGACGCTATAATTCTGGCATACGGGCTTACAATTCGCGTATAGCAGCAGGTGTGCCTATACAGAACAAGCGGGAAAAGTAGCGTACCGAGTCTAGGGTTTTTCGTTAGTATTCACGTATCGAGCTGCGAATTGGACTTTACCGCCGACATTATAGATAGAAAATGAATCCGATTGGGCAGCGTGGCACGAAGGCCACATCCGGCAGCAGCACTGCAGTATTGGTCGATCCCGCTTCAGCAACAGCGAAGTTGGTCGAATTTCCTATATATTATTGATAAATAGCTCGCGTTGCTCGTGTGACTTTTACCAAAATCGACGTCGGTATTTGTGTTTAAAGAGGGAAAGTCTGAACCGCCGGGATCGCGTACGTACCGACACTGAGGACAGACTCAAAACGGTTAGGTGTACGCGCGTTCCTTGTAACGAGAAATCAGTCAAGGGATTATCGTGCATTGGGTGTGACGGACATTTATATCCGTGCGAGTTGCATGAAAGCCGTGTCGTGTTGCGTAGTGCACAAGAACGCTCGATTATTCGTGGATCCCACGGGTGTATGTGCGATTATGTCGAGCGCCCCCGAAGTGAGGTGAGCGTTATAGGAGGGGAAACTGCCCAAAAGAAGCTGCCTTAGAATCTGTTTTTTGCTCCGCCATTGTACGCCACAAGAGTACCGCGAAGGAAGCCGCTTGCCTCGTTTTTCCGTGTGTTCTTGTTCGACGACATTTTTTTAAACTGATCGCTGTTCAAGCGTGTAAACGCGCCTACGCCGCGTTAACGCACGTCTCGTGGTTACGCTATTCACGAGGCGACGAAGCACGTTAGTGTCTTCTCTCTTTCTCTCTCTCTCTCTCTCTCTCTCTCTCTCTCTCTCTCTTTCTGTGTTGCGCGTTCTCACTCTATCTTTCTCTTTCTCACATATTATATATACGTATACACACACATACACGCATTTCTCCTTTTCCTTCTCACTCTTTTTCCCTTTCTCTCTGTGCTATACTCCCGATGCCTTCGACATCTCTGCGGAAGTCGCGTGTGTGAAGGTTTTTCGCGTACGTGGACATCGACGACGACGACGACGCGAAGTGATTCGTATACCAGTGTCTTTGCCGGGGATACAAATCTTGCGCGTCATTATGCAATAGACGTGCAGCTGACGAGAAAGAACTGCCTCCTCTGTTGAGGACAAGGACGGCGGTGGTGTTGTGCGGCATGTTTTTATCTTTGTTTTCCAATCCCGTGTTACGACGAGGAAACGCTGCCGCTACCGCAGCCGCCACCGCCGCTGCTGCTGCTGCTGTTCTTTTCTATATTTCGCGACGAGTAATCACGTGGGAATGCGTCAAGCGATGCGAGCATACCTGTTATTAATCTCTACGACAACATGTATACTTGGTAGTGATATCTAGTGTAATTATGTGCAACGCTCCGTATCATAGTGCTGAACGCGAATTTCTACCTTTGAATACGCTTCCCTCCTACTTTCGGCTTTTCCTTCTCTCTCTGACACTTTTTTCTCCTTCGTTATTCCCTCGTTGGTTTTCTCAAACAAAGTGTTCAGAAGTTTCTTTTATGCGCACCGTCTTGTCTCGTCGCATTCCAATTTCTTAATAACGCGTTGTTATCATTCGCCGGCAGCCGCTTACCGCCACGGCTTAGTCTACGTTCGAAGTTCACCGCTCGAAAATAGTGTGATCCAATACTGGAACATATCTTCGTGGGAAGAACAATCTTGCCTTTCTGACGTTCCTGTTGGCTTACTTTGCGTGTTTGGATATTGCCCCATGCAAGAAATACCGCCTTGAATGCCCTGCGGCTTTGAATATGTTTCTTTTTCGCCGACAAATAGTACAAGGTAAGCACAATTTCGTGTTTTCCTTACACTTTTATTAAATCAAGCGTCTTCAGCTTTTTCTCTTTACATTGTGTATTCTGAATAAATATTATTTACACAGTATTGAGCAAAGGTGCATATACTATTATATATTAATTAAGTGTTCATTAATATCATTTTTATTTTAAAATATTTATGTTGTTACATTAGCAATATTCATGTATTTGTATATCTTCTATATTTTTAATGGTTATTTAATAATTATTAATAGAATGAAACATGTAAATGTTAACAAAATGAAATTAAAATAATATAACATACAATTTAATGTAAGATAATGCAATGTAGTGTGCATTATCATGTTTTTATTGAATACATAATTACTTAGAATTAATACTTGATTATGAATTTATTTCATATACATTACTTATTTGTATAAAAATTTATTGTATTGTAATTTTTATAAATATATTTTGTTTGTCTCAAGTATTACATTAAGTTCTGTATATTATTTTTATAATATTACCTTATATAAAAACAGTGAAATTGTTTTTGTAATCTCTTTTGCTTAATGAACATTGTTATTATCATAATTATGTATATGTATCTTAAATATATAATTTTCAGAATACATATTGTTTTATATATTATCTACATTGAAACTACATAAAATGATATTAAATTTACAAATGTTTGCATTATTTCAAAAATATTTATTTTTATATGATTTATTTGCAGATTAATTAATGTTATGTTCTGGTCCAAAATATAAAAATGAAGAGATTAAACACAATGGAGAATACTGTTGAAACAACGTAACATTTAATGTGGAATGAATAAGGATTAAGAATACATAATACAGAACAAGATAAAACCAGAAGGAAGAAATTTGTTGGAGGATATAAATAAATAATAAAAGTGCAGGACAATAAAGTAGTAATGGATGAATGGGAGTGAACACAGCACATGTGAAGTGCAGGTGTGGGTGCGTACGCACGTGGGAGCCTCTGGATGTCGAGGCCGCAGCACTGGCAGTGTCAGTGGCAGTGATGGCCCCTGCTCTGACGGAAGGTGGTCCTCAAAAGCCTGAAAATTTGCTCCCTTCCCTTCCAGCTGGTGGATTTCTTTCCCCAGAGCAGGCTACGCAGGTGTGTCAGAATCGTGAAATTCTGGCTAAATTTGTTGTCTCTGCAAACGTTCAGCCATCAAAGATCGACGAACAGTGCTTACATGGTATATCCAAGGACCTCATTCGTGATGTCATCAACTCGAAATATGCCAATGATCTTGATAGTTTGTCTACATTTACGCACGGATCTGACCTGATTACGAAGAAGGCATTAATAGAGCAGGACTGTGAACAACCAGCCACTCTGGACAGTCCAGAAGAAAAGGTGACTGATACTATAATGAACGACCCATCTATGGGTGATCAAGCGGACAATATGGGTTTCTTAAAATCAAGCACAGATTTGCCTTTGGTGGGCTCAGAAACAGTAGGAGACAATAAAAATTTGGATGTGGATCAAATTATGGCCTTTGGTACTGACATAACTACAGATAATGAGCAGTGTAATATGGGCAATGTTGGTGATATTGGACAGAATGTTGAAGAGATTTTACAAGTTATTAAATCTATTGAAGGAGTGGAAAATGCAGAAAACATATCTGCAGGTAGTAGTGAACCAGTGCAAAGCACTGTGGATGGAGTGGAGATGTTTTCTATGCCTGAGGAAGGATTTTCGTCCTTTGAACGGGATTTACTTGACGTTGATGTTATGAGCATTTGCAATATTGCTGATGCAGTGGACCAACAAAAAATTAACACCCTAAAATTGCAGCAAGATATTGTTGCACAAAAGCAGCATGAAAGTGAAAGGAAATGTGCATTTTTATTAAGAAGACTGAGGAAGCTTCAAGCAAGAATAGTAGGCAGGCATGTTGCAGAAGAAAATACTGGAGTTCTTGAACTTGCTCATCATGGAGTGAAAAAATATCTTTTTCAAGAATTGGTTAATATTGGTTCTTCTAAGTCTAATGTTAGAAACTTTCCTGAGATTAGTAGTAGTTTGAGTTCATTTTTGCAAAAAATTGAAAAAATGTGTGTTGCCCAGAGCAACAGTGTGAATCGTCAGCGATTATGCTGCCGATATTTTGGTGGTGGATCGCGTGATAGTTTGGGTAGTACTTCTGGTAATAATAGCAACCGTCAGCCTGTGTTTGGTACTCCTCAAGTTAAAGTTAAAGGTGAAGAAGTAGAGAGTGTAGCAGGACCTTTGGCCATGCAGTTACACATTGTGGAGTCTAATCTTGACTCTGATTGTACTGCATCTAGTAGTGGTGGAGAAAGTTGTGATGAAATGCAGTCATTTAATAATCCACATCAACAACATTTATCTATGTGAGTTTTAATTTCTTTTATAAGAAGAATTAGGTTTCATTTTTGGGACCATTTCACATTTTTTAGTAGGAATAGAAATGTGTAATTCAGATAATTTTATATATTTTATCTTTCAAAGTAGTTTCTTTTTATAAGCTTTACTGTCAAATGTAACTTTCTTTATGTTTAATTCAACTTTTTGTCTTTACTAAATGCCTAAATCTGTTAGATTTATATAAAATTAGAAACCGAACAATATTTTGAGCCGGTTTCCAATTAGTTTTTTTTTAATAATGTTGTTTAATATAGAGTGTTTGTATGTACCAATTATTTAGTCAAACAATAAATGATAAATATAACAGAATACATGATAAACACATGTAAAACAAATAATATAAGTAATATAAACGAATATATTTAGTTCTAGTACTTAAAATAATGTTTATACTATAAATATACTTTTTGAAATTCAATTAATTAAATACTTTATATTGAGAAATTGATGTTGTTATTGAAATAAGATTCAAAGTATTTATTTATTAATGTTTTTTTGTTAATGTTACTTATAGATCAAAGAGAGCAGCATGGAGGTATGCTCAAGATCGTGCAGGTGTAGCAGCTAGATGGACATGGTTACAAGCACAAATATCAGATTTGGAATATAGAATTAGACAGCATAATGAATTGCAAAGACATATTAGAGCTAACAAGGGATTAGTGATACTTGATAATGCAGAAACAGTGAATGGATATAGTGGGGTTTTACCAGGTTCTACTGGGCGTTACAATTCACCAGAAGGTGAATTACCAGCTAGTAGGACTCGACCGTTTGTGTGGAGTTTTTATAGAAAAAGAAAATTGTTACAACTAGACAAGTTACATGAAGTCTCGAAACGTGCAGCAAAAGCATCAACAGTAAGATGCAATTGTGATCACGTATTACCTCCATGTGCTTTATGCACTGGAAGGCTGGATCCAATGCAACCACAAGAACCTATTGAACAAATGTCTGTACAAGAAAGGGTTGCACTTGTGGATCCTAGTTTTCATCCTGTTTTATCATTTCCTGATGGTAAATAAGATATTGCTTCTCTATACATTTATTTATACACTTCAATACAAAATTTTTATATTTTATAATATAATATTAAGTACCTTGAGAATTACATTACTATCATAAATTTTTTTTTCTGTAGAAGTTACTCAAGGAACTCATCTTGAAGCTATTATGAAATCAGTGGAGTGGCAACAAAAAATGTTGCGAGGAAATTTACGAATTACGCGCTTGAAAGATAAAGACACTAATGAAAGAAGAAATAAAAAACTTCCGGGGCACAGAGCGAAATATGCAGCCCGGTTAAAAAAGTCATCTTCAAGTATTCTTACTGCAAGTACGTAATACGTTATATCATATTCTATTAGAGCATTTCTTCTTATACTACTTTCATACTTCCTTTTGTTGTATTATTCATTAGTACATTAATTACTGATTTTTTTCATACAGGAATTAAAAAGAAAGTGTTGAAAGGAAAAAGGAACAGGCTTGGTCATGATAGAAGCGTGCATGGTTTAAGTAGAAAGAGGGTACAGAAATTAACAGCTGAAGATGATGATGATATTAGTGCTCTTTCCAGTTCTAGTAAACATTCATCTCCAGTGCCTTCTCCACTACACCATACTACTGCTTCTACAGAAAAGAATATAATTAAAGAAAAAAGTTCCACTTCTCATGGGTTAGTATCATCAGTTACATTTATTAACAAAAATATATACTGAACATATAAATAAAATTCTTAAAATATTTAATTTCAGACGCTTAAGGCAAAATTCATACGATATTGATAATATAGTCATACCATATAGTGTAGCTGCTTCAACTAGGCTTGAAAAATTACAATACAAAGAAATATTAACACCAAAGTAAGTAACATTTTTTTGGATGGTTTTATATGTTTTAAGCAACTATTAGTACTACAATATGCTTGTTTTTTTTTTTTTTGTAATATATAGGTGGAGGTTATGTGAAGAGCCTTCAAAATTGGATATTAAAAATGGTGTTATGCACAGGCCTAGTCAGGACAGTGATGTAAGCAGAATTAATTATATTTTTTTTTTTTTCAAATAATCATATTCCAATAAAATTAAAAATATGCGCTTGCCGTTTTAGTTTGAAGATATGTCGGATGAAACAATTGCTTTGAGACATGAACGAAGTGAGCGGGAAGAAAATAAACGCTTTATGACGTACATGAATATGCCGCATCAATCACGTATTCGGCATAATCGTAGAACAGATAGTCGAGCAGATAGTGGTGCGAATACACCAGGTAATGTATACAACTTTGTAATTTGAATAATAATATTGAAACTATCAATTATTAAATATTTTTGGTTGGATTAAAAAAAGTTGTATAACATTATGGATTGTGTCAACATAAATTATTTTTTTAATTATTAGATCCTATGTCTCCACACGCAAGTGATTTTGGTGGAGATATAATGTCACCAATTACGTCACCTCCTGCAACTCCTCAAGTTCAAGACTTAGAACATCAACATAACTTGGATAATATGCACCGGTCATCTGCTTTGCAAAATCCTTTAAGACGTCGTACTACGCCTACGTTAAAAGTAGTAAGGGACGACATAAGCGCTTTCATGAATGAGGATGAAAATGAGGTATTACTTTTTGCCGTAACTAAAATGATTTATGACATGAAATACAAAATAGGCAATATTACAAAAAAGATACCGTTTTTCAATTAGATTTTGCCGTATGAACCAAGAGTATTTCCGCTATCTGAAGAAGTTTATGATAAAATGCTGGAAGCAATGCCAGATGGGCATTGGCAAGCTTCATCAGCATCTCTTTGTTCTCGCGATGAAGAAAAAGCAGATGATGTACGTACACTGTGTTTGTATTAAATGTTTTACTGTTAATTATCTAAGTCAGAACTTTTTATTACAAACAAATGTCTGAATGCTCGTACTGACTATTAATGTAAACTTTGAGCCAACTTTCATGGCTCCTCGAGGCTGTCCCTGGTAAGCAGTGCCATTTGATGCTTCCTATTTTAAACACGATTCATTTTATTTTATCGCATATTTCAAATTTTAGCAATATTTAAAAGAGTCTGCATTGCGTTTACATACAATCTTTATCGTTTTATAAGCATTAGAACCTTTGATGAATTAGCCTGCTGATTGTTTTTTTCAGCTGTTATAAGCTTGTACATTTAAATATAGTTTTTGTAATATACGCAGAATAACCGTTGGACAAAATAGTTTTTTATAACTATTTAGGTAGACGTTAATATTTCATTTCTAGGATGGGGAAATGGATTCTCCAGAATCAGATTCGACAGAATCAGCTTGTTGTGACATAGAGGGTGAGGATCCCAATGATCCTGAGTGGACAGTAGCTGACGATAGGGATACTGAAAAGGAACGAATACGTCCGACGGCTAAAAGATAGGATAAAACCTTTAATACGTACAGTATGTCTACGTCGTCGTTACTATATGCAGAAGCTACCTGTCAATTGTTATATATACCTGTCGGTCATGTAATATGCACCTTAAGTTAATGGTATTACGAATCTGTAAAGTGTATTATAAATATAAATTTTATAACTTCATTCTGCTTAAATTAATGGAAAACCTTAATAATTGCTTTTTTAAGTATTGCTATTTCGGCCAAAGCATTAGAATTCTACGAATACCATCCTTTTATTTAGGATAAGGATATTGTTATATTTTTCTTTCACTGTTATAATCGATAAATAGGACGTAGTCCTTCAAAAGTTAGAATCTCATACAAACAGAATTAGACAGTTTTATGTAAAAAATAATAAAAAAATGTATTTATATTATAATCAAACTCTTACGTTAAATAAAAGTGCCAACCGAAATGTTCTGTAGCATTATCCTTCGACGTTGCATATTTTTTCTAGTTGCGACAAAACGATGTTCATTGTAATATAATTGAAAGCATTCAAGAAATATCCAATTACTACGAACACTTATATAATAATTTATTGTACGTATTTCTGTATTGTGTACATTGTTATATTTCTATATTTGACTTCTCTTATGTTGTTTATTATTATTTCTTCAAATGATTTCACAACTTTTGCATCTTATATAACAGTCAAAAACAGTTTACTTGTAAAACTTAAAAAAGCATGTATATAATCATTTACATTCACTTAATATATTTTTAAGTAATAGTATGCAGGTAAGAACATGGAATTATAGAAGAATGATATATTTAGTTCATTTTAGTTTTTACAGAGAAATAAGATACTAAAAGTGAAATAAATATACTCTGTTATTGAAAAATAACTGTATTCTGTATTTTGACTGTTATTGTTCTTATTATTTATAATTTATGAGGCATGAATTCATGTTTGTTATTAGTAACAAGTTACATGTTCAAAATCTCATGTCACTGTGATTTCATAATTTTCTAACAATCTGTGATACTACATGTAATTTCTTTCTTATCACATATTTTATATTTAGTCAAACATACCTATATTTAAAAGTCATGCGCTTAGATTTTGTACATCACATTTTGAATGAAAATAAACAGGCGGTAATAGAATATGTTTTTTCTTTACTACTTTTATGTTAATTCTTATTATCACAAATTAAGTTGAAACGCCGAATAAGTAAGTTTGATAAATCGTAAATATATGAAATAAATATAATTAAGACGAATGTTTTTATGGGATTTTATTTTTTTTACAAACATTTGTATTTTATTTGGGTAATTATAAGTGTAAATTCATACAAAATATAAAATTAAGATAAATAATACTTTATATAATAAATGTCCAATATTTTGATTTACTGTGAAAACATTGAGATTTATTCAATTCATTTGATTCATTTAAATATTACCAAAAGAAATGGTCTGAATATCTAAATTTTCCAAACTTACTATCACAGCAGTATGAGTGGTACTAAAACGTGGGACAGATATCAGTCTAATTGTTTGATTTTCATCACCTGAAAGTTGATTTAATATTAGTTTTATTTTTGAAACACTGAAGAATTTTATGTAAGGTATACAAACCTTTCCATAGTTTTGTTTCAAATTTTTCTGTATTTCCTACAAAATATACATCTGGACATTCTTTCATAATGAATAAATCTTTTTTATAGTATGGACAGGCTAACAATGTATCTGGAGCAGTTGGACATACATGCCTCCAATGTAAGGTTTTTTCTAACCACTCAATTGGTGAAATAGCAGTTTCACCTGTTGCTTTAATAATATCTTCAATTGATTGACCACTAGTACCAATTATTACTCGTTCATCAATTTTTCCAATCCATGGATTTGTGGTACTTTTCAAACTTTCAAGTCTACAATATAGAAATAAAATAAATTTATATATCTGTAAAGAATATTGTGTCAGTTTTACAATATAAATATTCAACATATAAATTAATACCTAGATGATTTAGGTAGTAGACAAGGATGAAATGGTTTTTGAGGTAACATAGCATTAGTGGGATCATGTTGTCCTGGCATTAAGGTAATATAACAACACTTTGCCAAATTACTTAAAAATGTATCTGCTGTCTTTATTGCTTCTCCAATTCCTTTATCTGTGTCTGTTTTTGAGTTTGATATGTCAGTACTTCTTATAGTATTACCTAATAAAAGAAACAAATACATAAATGATATTATGCAACTCTTTTAGTATTAAATCTGATTTACCTGCTATAATGAGACGAACAATAGAGGTGCCATCCTTTTGTATTTTTGTATTACCAGCCAGTCCACATAACCATTCTACAAAAAGGGATGTTTCTAAATTCTCATAATTGTTGGATAAATCTAACCCAGAAACTATTACTACTTTTTCTTGTGATGTATATTTTTTTAAAGATTCTTTTGGTGCACATCCTGGAAAACACCAACCTTTTACCTAAATACAAAATAGTACTGCATGTAACACAAGATAATAGCATACTAACAATGATATTACTTTTTTTTTAAAATAAAGATTACTATGAAACTGCCAGCACTGTTTTCATTGCCTAACACAGCACAAACAATTCCAGTGACAATATGCTTTAAATCAACTTGCTCTCCTTCTAACTTAATGCGTAACATTTCATCTTCTAAAAATGGTTGATCTTTTTCTGAACAATAATCCGATTTAACACAAGGAACAGAAAGTTGATGATCTTCATTAAGTTCCCGTAAAATTGATGGTTTCCATTGTTGATGTTTGTACAACGTACCAATTATTACACATTGTTGACCATCTAAATTTTCTAAGTCAGCCAATTTCACAATGGGAACATTTACTGTGTAAAAAAAGAAAGATATGGTTGTTGTATCATTCATAAAATAACTTTTTCATAAGTTTTTTCCCGATACGAACATAACCCTTGTCAAATACGTGTATATGTTTTACAAAATATAAAAAAATATATAGTATAAACATACTCCATTTAGCTTGAACGCGTGGAATTAAAATATCCCTTAATTCAGCAAGTCTGGCAGCGTATATGTGTGCAAATTGTTTTGAATAATCACTTGGCGTGCTTACGAACTTTTCCGAAAGATCTTTATACTGAGTTTGTTTTCTCTCAAACATTGGTGGATTTTCTTTTCCTGGTTTCACACATAATTCATTGTATTCTTTTTCAGTTTTATGAACCATTTTTAAATAATGTATGTACAAAATTTAATAAAATAATTCACGTTCGATCTGTTGCGCAACTGCGTATATTTATGCCGGGTTTACCGCCAAATTTGTGTATAGAGTGCCTCTAGCGCCACAATAAAGTCAGTTCCGCGGGAAATTTCAAATATTTACTTTTTAATTTATCGGTATTTAATTTTTCGTATTTTTTAAAATATTTCTTCTTCAGTCTATTAATATTTTCTTAGATTCCATGAGTGGCCGCGTCTCTCTCTCTTTTTTTTCGTCACATTCTTCACGGGCGAGGTTAGAACGACAATCTTAGGCCTCGTCAAAATACTGCCGGATACATGAGGACATTCCGAAAATCGAACGCGAAGCTGATTAAAATATTCTTTTTCTGCAGCCGAAACCGAATGTGAATTTAAAAAAAATTGAAAACAAGACAAAATGAACAAGAGAAGCAGAACAGTAAAATGTTTCGATCAGTTGATGGCACATATTTATGTAAACAAATTTTTGTAATTCGCTCGATCATTCGGAACGTCCACTTTGCATCTGGATCAATCCGTCCATAACGTGTCTCACGCTGAGGCATTTGCACAAATGCGTGCATATTAATCATTGGGACTACAAAAACATATCATCATATGTAATGATAATGATACCGTGTATATGTATATATATATATGTATATGTATATGTATATGTATGTGTATATATGTATATGTGTGTGTATATGTATATATATATATATATACATATACACACACATATACATATATACACATACATATACATATACATATACATATATATATATACATATACACGGTATCATTATCATTACATATGATGATATGTTTTTGTAGTCCCAATGATTAATATGCACGCATTTGTGCAAATGCCTCAGCGTGAGACACGTTATGGACGGATTGATCCAGATGCAAAGTGGACGTTCCGAATGATCGAGCGAATTACAAAAATTTGTTTACATAAATATGTGCCATCAACTGATCGAAACATTTTACTGTTCTGCTTCTCTTGTTCATTTTGTCTTGTTTTCAATTTTTTTTAAATTCACATTCGGTTTCGGCTGCAGAAAAAGAATATTTTAATCAGCTTCGCGTTCGATTTTCGGAATGTCCTCATGTATCCGGCAGTATTTTGACGAGGCCTAAGATTGTCGTTCTAACCTCGCCCGTGAAGAATGTGACGAAAAAAAAGAGAGAGAGACGCGGCCACTCATGG